TTCGTAGTTAGTAGGTTTAGATATGATTGGTAGATTTTGAGTAAGACCTGTAGTCATTCTAGGTTGCACATGATAATGAAGAGCTGATAGTCGAATTTTGCCTCAATTATGTGAGTAGACCTAGCCTTCACCTAATCTTTCTTACCAAAAGGCTTCTAAAAATATAAGTTTAGCTCATTGACTATAGACGGGATATATAAGCTGCCTAGCTTGTTTTGGAAATCTCGTCTGGCCTGTGGCCCATTGGCACCTGTGATAGTGTGGCGTGGTTGTACGCTGCACTACTCAGATTTGATTCCCAATTGGGTTGCTGATGAGATCTAGGCGAAGTCAAAATTGCAGTCAGCCTGGATGAGAATACTTTTCAGTAAGCAGGGCTAAGTGAAATTCATTGGTATCGTGAGACCTCTTCATATCATCGTGATGGGTAACTTCAACTATCCCTCCTTTATCACCTAGTGCGACCTAGGATCAATACAGAATTTATTAAGTGCAGCCCTAATTTTCAGTAACTCTTTTATATCAACTATTTGTATCAGCAAGCATGCTTGGTCTCGCTCTCAAATTTTACCAGTTTTTTTCCGGATTTTATTGCATTTATAGAATGCATAATGTCCAGACTTTTTTTAATGCATCTTTACAAGACTGCGCAAATGAGATTAGAGGTTCTTTCCGGGGCTGAATTTCTATTGTTTCTTATTGGCATTGGTCTGCATTTTAGGATTCCATCCCTTTATAGGCACCATCATAAATCATTTTTCTTTTAGACCAGATTGAATAACATGAATATGCGCGTTCAAATTATGTTTTTTAAATGATATCCATTAACTTCTAATCTCCTGGTCAATATATATATGTATATATGCATAAATATTTGTTCTTTTTTCGTTATTGAGTATGCTTTTGAGATTACTAGTAAATCAGATACATGAGCTGTGTTCGCCCTATTTTGTTTAAAATGGTTGAAGGACTGGTAGTTGAATTTTTCCACAATGATATGAAGAGAGGTGACGTTTCCATTGTATTTCACATAGCCTTGCTTTCCCAAAAGCTGTCCTCATCCAGGATGTACTGCAGTTTCGACCTCGGCTAGGTCTTATCAACAACTCCAGCGGGAGTCGAGTTATAACAGTGCAGCTTGTAATCTCGACACATCAACCACTATACCAGATTGTCACAAGTACCCTTGGGTCACAGGGCAGATACGAATCTCGAGGAATGTCAAGCATTTTCCATATTACATTCTGTTTTGGGATTGTCGATGAATAAAACTTATATTTGCTATAGCAATCGACGACATTTTTTCGTTATTGACTAGGTTTTCGAGATTAGCAATATATCAGATGTATTCGAAAACCTGCTCACTAATGAAGAAAGTAACGTCGTCGATTGCTATAGCAAATATAAGTTTTATTCATTGACAATCTCAACACAGAATGTGATATGGAAAATGTCTAGCCTTTCTCGAGATTCGTATCTGCCCCGTGACCCAAGGGTACTCGTGACAATGTGGCGTAGTGGTTGACGTGTCGAGATTACATTCTGCATTGTTATAGT